GGGTTCCCCGTAACACTGTAACCATAGTATAATCAACATAGAAAAGAAAAAAAAAATCCATGTACACCACAGCGCACCATGCGCGAAACCGGAGTGCCGCGCAGCGCCCACTGCGCATCAGTGCGCGCGCATCGCGCACGGGTGCACGCACAGCACAGGTGCGCACGGCGCACCGCGTAGCGCACCGCATCGCGCACCGCACTGATGCGCCACAAGTATGATATGTATATGTATATGTATATATCGTCAAACAGAACTGCCCGGTAAACCGCAGGCAGAGAGGGAGAAGAGACAACAAACAAGGGGCTGTGACAAACTGTTTCGTCGGAGTTTCACCGACTCATCAGGAGGCTGAACCCTCAACAGTTTGCTGTGACAAACTGTTTCGTCAGAGTTTCACCGACTCATCAGGAGGTTGAACCCTCAACAGTTTGCAGAATCCCCTAACTGATTACACTGTAAGTGATAACCCACCTTAACCTCGGTTGTGGTTAAGCATCATCGACTGCCTGGCAACTGATACCCTGAGGTGGGCACCAGCCACTGCCCTCATATCATACTTGCGGCACATAGGTGATAGGTGAGGTCCGGTGCGCGCGGCGCGGTGCGCTGATCGTTGATGCACAAAAAAAAAAAAAAAAGCAAAAAAAAAGCCACCGTGATGTGTGTATACACGCGCGCGCGCGCGAGAGAGAGAGAGAAGAGCCCGTTCACATTATTCAGAAACCCCCCGCCGATACTTTAGAACTCCCCTGCCAAAATTTATCGAGTTTCTCCTCGGCAAGAAGAGGGTAGTCGTTTGGTTTTGTAGGAAGGCAATAGCAGGCCAGCTATATATGGTGTAGCTTCGAATTCAGGTCCGTGTTTCAGCAGTTATGGGTTACTGACTTACTAACTCGGCATGTGATTTTCATGGCTTCACTCCACTACTCACCAAATGTGGGAAACTAGAATGAATCTTCTCCTAGAAACTGGAACCATACGCTGCCATATGTTTTGTCTTTTGTGCAAGTGGTGATGAGTTGAGCGAGGCCCCCTTAGGGCCACTGCACGTAAGAAAAGGAAAACAAAAAAACGAGAGAGCTACTGAAGTGTTAGTAGTAAGGTAGTAACCCATAACTGCTGGAACACGGACCTGAATCAGAATGCAGAATATATTGCTGGCCTGCTCATATCCTCTCAGCATTTCGGTGAGCGTCTTTCCAAAAACATGGGACCCCTGCTAATTTTCTGTTGGGGACCCTTTGGAAAAGAGACGAGATCCAACGAGGAGTACGATGTGGCCCCAATTTTTTATATTTTTTTGTGCACTTACAATTCTCAGACGGGAGGGGCACATTTGGCTACCACAGCCTGCCCTTTTTGAATTTTTTAACCGACCCTATTTTCGTACATGCGCTGCATCACATACGCGCGCATGTGTGTGTGTGCGCTATGCGGCTCACGTGTGCAACTTGTGCGCACGTGATGCGCCGCATGTATGCCTCATATAATATATATATATGATGAGTCGGTGAAACTCCGACGAAACAGTTTGTCACAGCCCCTCGTTTGTTGTCCTCTTCTCCCTCTCTGCCTACGGTTTACCGGGCAGTTCTATTTGACGATATATATATATATATATATATATATATATATATATATATATATATATATATATATATATATATATATATATATATATATATATATATATATATTGCAAGGGGTAAAAAGGACCAAAACAGGTCAAAACCACGCGGACTTTCAGTTGGGACATTGTTTCGGGGAAGAAAAGAAAAAGGACAGAACTGGGCAGTTATCTGTTCGAACCATGGTTCGCAGCGGCACTCATGAAAAGACCAATTCTGACAAAAGGGAGACTTACGAAAAGCCGCGTGCTCTGGCCTGTCATATTGTACCCAGACGACAACGCAAAATTGAACGCATCTGGGAACAAGTCATGCACCTGGGCTGATGTATATCTAGGTACATTCATTCCGACATGGTGGACAATATCGTTTTCTCAATTTTCTGCGACTGGGCCTTCTTAGTAAGTGTTCTTACTTTGCCTTACCAATGAGCCTAGCTCAGTTGGTACGACCGTGAACTGTTGAAAATTGAAATACAGACCCAACTTGAAGCTTAGATCCAGATATGATCAGAAGAACACAATAAAATAATAATTTCGAAATAAGCCGGGGCCGGTCAGTTCAATGATGGTATCACAAGGCTGTCACCTTTTCAAAAAAAAAAGCAAAAGATCTTTACTTTGCCTTACCTGTCCTCTCATGAAAAGAAAAAAAGAAAAAAAGAAAAAGCAAAAACATTGCATGCGTTTACGGCAACTTTACACACAATTTGTACAGAGCTCCGTTGTACGGCACTGTGAGAGTAACGCGCTGAGTGTTTTCTTTGTAGCTTTGTCTGTTCGCGGTATCGAATTCGTAATTGCAATCAGACTCGCTTTCACTTCCACTTCGCATACATGCGAACAGATGGCGATTCACACGGGCGCACAGCGCCCTCACCAAGCTCAGAGATATGGCAACCGAGAACACAGTTCAGATGTAAACTCGCTTCAACGGACTATGGCGCATCAGCACCTGTACATCACAACTCTCGTGACTTCGTTCAACACCACTGTTCACACATACTCAACTCGACTCTGGATCACCCTGAATACCACCACACACACTCACTAACCTACCGCGGCTATGGCCGCTCTACCCCTACTGACTATGGCTACGAGATCACTTCTCAGCTCACTTCGTCTTCGGGCAACCTGCAGACCACCTTCGCACAAGACGCTGTAGCAGCGCTTCCGCATGGCTTACGCAGCGAATGAATGAATGACTGGGCGCTGCCTCTTGATTTATGCTTCTGTAACTTGTTGGTCTGCCCCTTTCCCATGCCCTTGGTGCACACAGTCCCACCCGGTACTTGCTCGACTGGACTGTGACTGACTAGGACCGGTACAGCTGACTGGATGGCGTTGCACTGCCAACTCGATGCAGTCGCACTGCCGACATAACGCAGTTGGGCTCACCACTTGCCCACTTGCCTCTGTCTAAACGTGAGACAACTTCGAAAGGCCGCTTCCGGACCTTCCGGAAGTCTGTGGTCTTGGCCTTTCGAATCCTGTAGCAGCTACGACCTTCACCTCTCAGATCAGCTACAGCTGCGACCTCTACAAAGCTGTGACCCCTATTCGATAGACCTACAGATCGAACCCCTACAACTAGACAGACCTACGACAGACATCAAACAACTACCAAAATACAGGTCACGGGTTCAAGCACTCGGGGGTCTACTCGATACTGTACATGGGCAAGGTAAGGTCTGGGGATCGAACTCTAGTGCCCGCATCTGTGACTGTAGATAGGTGAAAACCGTTTCATAATTTTTATAGTGATGGCCTGTGTTGAAATTATCATTTAATTATGAAAGTTTAACACATTGTTTAATTTGTGATTAATCAACTTATAGGGCATACTCACACAATGAGCTTTTTTACTCATTTATGGATGTAATTGGGGTCAGATGCATCCAGGTTGGGCTGTAAATGTGGTCAGATACATTTAAGAAATATAGAGCTAGTGCGAATTCGGCCCGTAATGTGCCTTTTTCTTCTTTGATTGGCAGATCCTGGCCGTGTGTCATACGATCGTTCCAGAAGGAGATAGCGAAGAGAACATCAAGTATTGCTCAGAATCTCCAGATGAAACAGCATTTGTAATTGCTGCCAAAGTGCTGGGTTTCTTCTTCCACAAGCGTACCTCCACAGCGATATGGGTTCGCGAGGTCGGACTGGACAGAAAGATCCGTGAGGCGAAATACAGTGTGCTCCACATATTGGAGTTTAATAGTACAAGGTAACTGATTGACAGCTTGATTGTGTTCCCCCAAACACATCACACCCTCAAGATGTCTGTATTTCACCAGAAAGGTAGCTTATATACATTTTTTCATGATCAGCGTCCCCTGCTGCATTTTGAGGGGGAGACAGTAGACCTTATCTTCTTGAAATGGCGCCAGGCAGTTGCCTGGTTTGGGGGGAAGCGGCTGAACAATTAGTCAAGGGGGGAGGAGTGGCGGAGAGTAAGGAAGATTCTCGAGTTGTCATTTATTGCAACCCCTTGGATTGTATTCGCTCTAACAAAGCTTCATGTCGTCGTTTCCACGGAGTTCTATTTTCGCTGATCGTGTGTGTTATGATTTCTCACCCTCACCATTTTTTTTTGAAAGGTCAGGCCTCAATCTTTCTTCTTTTTTTAAATTTTTCATTATTATTTATTTTTATTTTTTAAATATTTTTTAATTCAATCTTCGGTTTTTCTATGTTGTTGCAACGAGTTTAGTTAGTAGGGAGCCTAAGGCAAATTCCTTTTGGGGGCTCATCCCCCTTCAACCCCTATGAGAGCCCTTCTTTTGCTGAGGGCTATAAAGGGGATGTAGAAGAGGAGAGGGGGTTGGTTGGTTGGTGCTTAAGTTGCTAAAGAAAGTTGCTGATCAGATTTTCATCCCCCCTTTACCCACTTTATTTAGCCCTTTTTTTTTTGGCTCAGTGCTAACGGGAGCTAAATTGCCAAAAGGGGGGCTACGTTGCTCATCCCCCCTTAACCCCGTTTACCCCTTTATTGGGTAAGGGAACGCCTGAGAGCGGTAAACAAATAAAACGCCCCCACGCCCAGTGGGCGACTGTGTTTTTTATCCATGTAATAAGGCGTGGCCCCCCTTCCCCCCCCCCCCCCCTCCCTCCTACCATCTGTCCCCGAATACCTCTTATGTTTTCACCCTCATGATGATCATACATACACATAGCATGTATATATTCGTGATTACAGTGGTCAGGGGAAGACGGTGGTGGGCACTATGTTCAGGGGAAGAAGAAGATAGCTTGGCTGGATGCGCAGATGTGCCAGGGTGGGTGGAGGTACCGGATCGCTGCTACGGGGCCTTTGCAGTCTGATCAGACCATTTCTGAGTGCTTTTGGGTGTCGTGAACAGCCCCTGCCGTTCACCACTCGAAGAGAATGCACGTGCATTATAATAGCTGTATCAAGAGAAATTTCAGTCTAGATAGATGGATAATGACCGTGTGTTGTATTCGGGTGAAGACGGTAGTCGATCTGTGGCTGGTCCAGAGAGATTCTTTGGACCAGATTCAGAGACCTTCATGTGTGTGTCCGAGTCCAGTCTGGTCAGGGCTGCTCCCGGACCGTACAACGGGTCATTCCGCTGTCTAGACTTGCATCCACCATCATCAATTGTTTGCATTTTTTTTTTTTTAAGAGTCTTTGCTCCTCACTTCAGCTGTCATTTTCTCTCCCCATCGGATGGCCTGCATTTGATACGGGCACCGGTGGAGCCATTCCAGATTATTCTTCTCAATCAGCGGCCCTATGTCCTGTCTGCAGTTGTTGGCGGCTTTGGATGTACTTCGCAGTAATGTACACGAATGTGGACTTTTTTTTTTTTTTTTTTTCTTTTCTTTTCTTTTTGTTGCCCTCCTGGGCCTTCCCCCCCCTCGGCCACTAGCACTAGTGTCTCTACCTGATTCCATCAGGTGCAAGGAAAATGAGCAATAGCGAGATGACAATGTCCAGAACACACAATCACAATGAGCAGAAATGCACCAATATAACACCAATGAAGAATCGTAACACTGAAAACCAATGTCAATGAGAGCTTGCTCTCGCCACCACCAACATGAGTGTCCAGGCCCTATCTCCCTACTTGGCGCTCGACGCCCAGCCTACTTCCTACACAGCTACAGTTTGCCTACTAATTGACAATGCAACGGTGGGCGTCAGCAGCCCACAAAGTACTTGAAGATGTCGCCCAATGCAGACCATCGCCAATACCAGGTATGTGCCCTCACATCATCATCATCATCATCGTCATCATCCTTCTCTCTCTTCCCTGACTTACTCCCACGTCTTCCCCCTGTACACCCGAAGACCACCCCTGCGCCTCATTGTAGTCCAAGCCCATCCAGCTATGGAGGCTGGGCTATGGCGCTGCCCTCAGCAGCGCCCTGCTCCCTGCACGACCGCACACACTAGCACCTTGCCTCTCAGCGCCAGCAGCAGCCCATGAGCGTCCACTCCAGCAGCGCTGCCGCCAGCATGCAAGTGCTGAATGACTCCTCCAGGCAGCGAGCTCTTTCCTATATGGAAAGAGCCTGCCTGCCTTCGCAGCCTGGCTGGCCTGGGGCTGGGCCCAGAAGCTTCCGGTAGGCCGCAGGATGCTGTGCCTCTGGTTCAGCTACTGGGCCTCATTCGGTTGGGCCTCCCAACTGTCTGTGTATGAGGCTGTGAATCTCGCCCAGGGCCTGCTCTTTCGGAAAAGCCTAGAAGGCCGTGGAATTTCCTCGCTGCTCGGCCTGTGTTTCCTTCAACCAACTGGCGCGACGAAACTGCCTGGACCCCAAATACGAAATTGAGAGCTGAGGGCTTCTCGTGATTTGTTAGGCCCGCCTTCACTTAGGGCGGGCGCAGATGCAACAGGGGCCCCTTAGGCCTGCCGAGGACCCGGATCCTCGCATTCCCTACTCCTTTACTTCGATAGTCCTCTAAGAAGTTCTTATGGAATAGGCTGCTTCCCTTTCAGATTTCTCTCGTAACTTGAGATAATTTGGGGAGCAGTCTTCATTAATTCCTCTCTTGTGAACCACCGGTCTTCTTGAGGATCAATGTGATGTATGAACCACACTCGGTATTGCATCTGTGGCTTTGGCGGTCGACCCCTCTTGGAGGTTTGGGTACAGGCATCAGCTTGTGCTCGACGATATTGTCAATGTCCACGTGTCCATCCATGGTTGGGGGCAGCATTGATCTCCTTGAGGGAAACTGATCAGTGACAGCGAAAGGTGCCAACTTGGATGCATTTAAAACAGGGTAAGTATGTAAGTGTGCGGGCATGCGAATCACGTATGACGGTCCATCTGGTTGATCCCCTACACTGTCTAAGATCTCCCAGGGCCCAAAGTACTGTGGCATTAGTTTGCGTGAAATCCCCAACTCTTGACCTAGTTCAGATGATTTTACCCAAACTCGTTCACCTACCTGAAAGTTAGATTGTCATCTGTGCCTGCTCTCAGATGCAATCATTGAGCTTTCTTAATATGCTCTACAGCCTGTTGCAGCATCTGTTCGTATTTGACAGCGAACTGTAGGACGCCAGGTGATGCATTTTGCTGCTGTTCAGGTAATAGAAAGTCCAGTGCTGATCTGGGCTTCCGACCGAGATGTAATTGGTTGGGAGTCATACCAGTAGTGCTATGCGCAACGTTATTGTACAGGTTGGCGACGAGAGGCAACTTCTCGTCCCAGTCATCCTGACTTGGCTCGATGTAATGCCGAAGCAGGTGCTGTACTACGCGGTTCATCTGTTGGGCTGTGCTTTGCCACAGTTCGCTGGTGAAGCTCACGTCCCTGTCACTAACTATAGACGCAGGTAGATCGAAGTCATGTACCCAGTTATCCATAAAGAGCTTGATGATGTGGTCAGTTCTGGCTGTCTCAGGCATAGCAATTAGTCTTGCATATTTAGTAAATCTATCCACAATGACAAATATATGGCTTTTTCCACTCTTGCTGGTCACGAGAGTATCCATGAAATCCATGGACACACTATGCCTAGGTCCAGCAGGAATAGGCAGGGGTTTAATCAATCCCAAAGGTGCCTGCGTCCTTGGTTTGTCACGTTGACAAACTTGGCAGGTCTCTATATATTTCTTTGCATCTTGCATCATTGTGGGCCACCAAAACTTCTGTACTAGGTTAGCTGATGTCTTTCTATAGCCAAAATGACCAGCTGCATCATGACATTCCCCTAAAAATAAACTACGCAAAGACTCGCTATTAGGAACACACAATCTTTTATTCCCTGCCTTTTCAAGAAACAGCAAGCCATCTACCATCGCAAATTCGTCAGAAGTTACTTTATCCTTCTCTTTGAACTTACGGATGATCTCAGACATAATGGAATCTTGCTGATAGGCTTCCACCAAAGATCGAGTTAGATCGTCGGATATGCCAAATTCAGTTACTAGCGCGCCCAGTTAATCTGCCCGACGTGATAGTGCATCAACTACTTTATTGTACTCAGAGAGTATAGGCTATCACTTGAATCCATCTCTTGAGTGCGTCAGAGAGTACAGGTTGTGTCTTCCTTTATTGTACTCAGAGAGTACAGGCTATCACTTGAATCCACCGCTCGAGTGCATCATCTATTATTCTCCCTTGATTGGATCAAGTTGATAGTCATACATGTCTATCACTTGAATCCACCACTTGAGTGCGTCAGAGACTTGAGTGCGTCAGAGAGTACAGGTTGTGTCTCGATCCAGCATGGTCTAATGGTGAGATCTCAAGTAGAAGAATCTTCCTAGGAAGTAGTGTCTCCAATGGACCAACGCTCTGTAGAGGGCATAAAGCTCACACTCATATGTGGACTATGCTACCTTTTGAGACGACATCTTCTTACTCATGTACTCGATAGGTCTCAACTTTGGCCCCTCCTAGTGTGTCAGAGCATACTTCAGTTTCCTGAAGCTTGCCTCACTCTTCAGTTCACTCGCAAGGGGTGTCAAGTCGAGTTAGATCAGTTAATGGGGAAGCTATAGTACTATAGTTTTTAACAAACGGACGATAGTAGCCCGTCATCCCCAAAAATGATCGGACCTACTCTGAGGTCTGGGCCAGTCCCGTATGCTGGCCACTTTGGCATCGTCCGACCTCAACCCATCCCCAAAAATGATCGGGCCTACTCTGAGGTCTGGGCCGGTACAAGATCTTGGTGCGACCGAACTTGCATTTCTCCAAGTTTACCTTTTACTGGTGCTGTCTTAGGACAGCTAACACTATTT